ACCTGTACCCCTGAATGTTTCGGTCTCTCAGGAAATCGTCCAAGTGTTTTCTGAAAGATTCAATAATCACCGCTGAGATCACTTCCTGTGGCAGTGAGCTCCAAATTCTAACCGCCCGAACTGTGAAGAAGCCCCTTCGCCCTTTGTGTACAATGCTTTCAACACCAAAACAAAAGTAAGAATAGGTGTCCCTAACATATCCCTAAGGTAACTCCACGTGAACCCTTAACCTGACCACTAAAATGAGACATTAACTCTTAAAGCAGACCTTGCACCTAAATAATTGATCTGCCTAATTAGTAAGAGATTAAGAGGTGGGAGAGGGGCTGTTACAACAATTGTATGAAAATACGATACAGTGCATAGTCGTGGTTAATATTCATATTACTGTAAATTGAGAATTGTTCTAGTTAATTTTCCTTAAACCATATATAATGCACAGTAGTATAGCTCAGCAGTCACCAACCGGTGGTCCGCAGACCACTGGTGGTCCGCGAGAACATTTTGGTGGCCCGCAATTGCCCCCCGGGCCCCTCTGATGCCGTGCAGGCTGGGTCATCATTGAAGTGGCACGGAGGCTCCGGGGCTGCCTCTCACTGACTCAAGCAGCGGCTGTCACAAGGAATGCGTGGCTCTCAGTACAATGCGGGCTCTGCAGGAAGCGGGGCATCTCTTCAATACCCGGACTGAGCAGGCTGCGGGACATAGAAAAAGTGGGGAAAAGCCAGGTAATAGTGGCTCAGTGTGAGGGAATATATTGTCATATGTGTGTGTGTGTGTGTGTATGTATGTGTATATATATATCTATATCTATAGATATATAGATATAGATATATATACACACACACACATATGGGAATATATATATTTTTTTTAAATTCATATTAGTGGCCGCGGGATTTAAAATTATTAATTTAGTGGTCCATGAGGTCCGAAAGGGTGGCGTCCGCTGGTATAGCTGATTCATGTGCTGCCATCTTGTGGTGATTTTGGTTATTGCACGATCCTTTTCTGTATTCCCTCCCCTTGTGTGTGATATAGCTCCCTTCTTGTCTGAGTAGTCTTTTTAGTGTCATGGCCGCTTATCTCATAGCCACGTGTTAATTTGCTTGCATGGGGAAAGCATTACCATATTGAAAATACCAAATACCGTCTTTTCAATCATCTGCTACATCCTGTTGTCTGCTGTAACCTGCTGAATGAAATAAAGATATTTGTGGATGAGAAAGATATTTGGTGAGTTCAGCTATCCGATAAGGATTGCTTGGGGTGATTATATCTGCTTATACAGGCCAGGCATAGAGGTCCCAGCATGGGATAAATCACTAATACAACAATTGGAGTCAGAGTAGGGTCCTCACTATATAAGCAAACCTTGCATGCTGGACAGCTCCCCTTTTAACTCAATCTCTTTTTTTAAAGGAGTTCTAAAGTCAGCTTGTACTATCCAGTTATAACATCAGCATTGTAATAGGAACACATACTAGAGTTGTTTTTGATAATGCAATCAAAGCTTACTTTGAAAAAATCCCTTTTATGTAGTGAGTGCTGCCTTCTGTCTGCCCATCACTTTCAACAACTTCCTGGATTTTCGGTGTGCTTTGCATCTCTTTCCCTGCTGCTTGATTTGACGGAATCTTGATTTCTCAAGACTACATGGCCCATCATGCATTGCTTCCAGCAAGCAATAATGATGTTACATTATTTAGAAGTTGAGTTGTAGATCAGAAGGCAGGCTCTGTGAGTTGTGACGCAAGAGTGAAACGGTGTCAGTGCATTAAGGAAGGGCATCCTATGGGCATCTTCAATAAGTACATTTACAAACTTCTAGATGGATATGGTTTTAGGAGTGGGATAGAACTGGAATGGAAATTTAATATAGAAATACATATTTATTTTAATTTTTGACCATAGATACCCTTAAACTGTTACCTAGCACCTTATCTTTAACCCTTAACCTGTCACTGACACTAAAACTTCACTCTAACCCTAACACTTAACATAACCCATTATAACACTCATAACCTCCTCCCCAACACTTAAACCCCCTACTGTAACTTTGACCCCAACGTGAAGCTAACCTAAACAGTAATGCAATATAGCTTGTTCTGCAGCACACACACCTTCTCTGGCCCTGGTGATACCAGCTCCAATAGATCACAGGCCTGCTCCTAAATTATGTGGGTGCTTAAAATGAATGAACCAGGGAAGTTGTAGTTTGAATATGCCGCTGATATATAAAGAAGAAATTGTCACATTTCGCCCCATGAGCAGGGCAGGAGGAGAGAGTAGGCAGAAATGATACATTTTGAATGAGCTGCTGCTTCTTCATTGTCCAATCAGCAGTCTATAGATAAGGAAGTGACAGCACTGCATTTGTTAACAGAGAAAGTAGCGTCTCCCTGTTGGCTTTGCTGTCTGGGAGAAGTATATGAATCACAAAAGTTGATGGACAGAATTATAAATTCTTTGCCAGCTAATCTGATGGGTCCTGAGGGCTATGACACCTGATACACAAGCTCTGCTTCTTGTACTCTGTTACTAAGAAAGCTGATATTTTTATTTAAGACATAGTATAATAATTTGGCAAAGCTATTTAAGAAGTCATTGCCTTGGTTGATAAACTGTACAAAGGCTTCTAATGACTCGTTGTGCAGAAATATGTTCATGAGCACAAAGAGTTCTGGTGGATAGCAGAAGATCAGCATAGAAAACAGGATTTCCTCACAAATCAGCGTGACTTCACACATAATTGATGCTTCAGCTTTGTTTGGAAGGCAGCTTCTCAATCACCCAAAGGCTTGTTGTATCCTCTTGGGACTCCGGATTTTCCAGATCTCTGGTTGAAATAACTGGAAGTTTCCAGTTAGTTCAGCCAATTTGGAGGACCCATTCTCAATTTTTTACTTTCATTTTTTACTTTTTCTCCAACCAAAATGTTTTGTTTGCATAAAGGAGACATTAAAATACAGAATGGATACATAGGTTCAGTGAAAGACAACGTGGGATCAATATGCTTGCAATCAATAGAGGTCTGAGAATGAAAACATAAACATTTGGTGGGATACAGTATTGCTTTGGTCCGTATGCTTCCAGTAGTAAAAATTTAGACCATGTACCACCAAGTAAATCCTGTATTCAAGAGGATATCAATAACTTTGATATTTTTAGGGCAGGTTAGCACATGAAAGCTAGCATCTAATTGGTTGTTATTAGTATCAGTATCTTATTTTCTTACAAAACATGATACCAAAAATAGACTTTATTGCGGGACACTAATAACGGTACCTAGTGTAACACGTCTTAACTGCTTCAGGTCAGGCATCCAATAACAAATAAGTAGGAGTGTTCACGTTACAGTATGAACTGCTCCATTGCCAGGAAGTGCTACATTTTAAAAGCATATTTATAAAGTAGTGAATGTGACATTCACCAAAAATGAAATGCAGGTAACCTTTCCTGGTTGATGTGTTTTAAAATAAGGCGGACGATTCACTACTAGTGAATGTTTGGAAAATGTCACAATCTTCATACAGTAAACTCCCCGTCATCCGGCACCCATGGGGATTGGTAGATGCTGGATAAATGTATTTTTCAGTTGCTTGAGAGTTACTATTAAAAATATGTATAAACTCCGCCCCATCCCTTTCCCCCGCGCAGCTTCTTCCCCATAGGACCATTCATCTGCTGGCAGCTAGATTCTGCAGTCAACAGCTGAATGTAAACAGTGAGCAGTGTGTGAGAGCAATGGCCAGCCTGATATTGGCTGTTGCACCCCCCAGTGCCTGCTATCAATCAGCAGAGGTGCGCACCTGATAGAGAAAGTTCTCTGTCAGGTCCTCTCCTCTGCTAATTGACAGGAGGCAGTGGGCAGTAGACATGTGCGATTCGTTTCGTTCCGAATCGAAATTCGGATGAATTTTCGGAAATTACAGACATAACGAATGCAAACGAATCCGAATTTCCATTTCCGAAATTCGGTAGCGTTAGTACGAACGTTCGTTTCGTTTTCTGTTCGTATTCGTTTCTTATTCGTTTCGTTCGTTGGAGCAAAGTGACATTAGAGAAGGAGAAAAATATTTTTTCCCCCTCAAATGTCACTTTTGCTGCAAACGAACGAAACGAATAAGAAACGAATAAGAACAGAAAACGAACCAAACGTTCGTACTAACGCTACCGAATTTCGTCCGAATCCGAATTCCGAATCCGAATTGACTTTCACACCCGAATCCTGAAAAACGAAATAACACATATCCGAATTTAAAACGAAACTAAACAAATTTTTTGGCAGTGCACATGTCTAGTGGGCAGGTGCAATAGCTCACCTGCTATTGGCTATTGCAATAGCCAATGGCAGGTGGGCTATTGCACACACCCACTGCCTGCTCTGAATTAGCAGAGGAGCTGACCTCATGAAGTTCTCTGTCAGGTCTGCTCCTCTGCTGATTGACAGCAGGCAGTGGGCAAGTGCAATTGCCAGCCTGCCATTGGCTATTGCGATGGCCAATAGCAGGTGGGCTTTTGCACACGCCCACTGCCTTCTCTGAATAAGCAAAGGAGCAGACCTAATAGAGAAAGTTCTCTGTCAGATCCGCTCTAATAGCAGCCGGGCTACTGCTCCTGCCCACTGCCCACAGTTCACATTCAGCTGCAGGCTACAGAATCTAGCTGCCGCCACATCACCGGGCTATGCCTTCCTCTGTTGACAGTGAGTATACGCAGCCAGATTTAAACAGAAGATTTTGTTTGCAACTAAATAAATTTAGTTTTAGGATGAATCCATTCATCTCAAATGAAAGTTTGTAGTATGCACATGTGTATTTTTTTGTCAGTTGTTGGAGAGTGCCAGTAGCTTGAGTTCGGGATAACGGGGAGTTTACTATAACAACATGCTTTATAAATATGCCTGTTGGTGTTTAACTGCTTAGGTGTAATAAATGTAATTTCAGACTGTTAAAGAGTGGCATACCCACTAAAATATCATCTTTTTTGTTCCCTAGGGGACAGTTGCCCTTGCAGTGGTCGTGGCCAGGAGGCATTATAGAATCTGATACAAAAGAAAAGGACTCAGAAGTGGAGCTTAGCAACAGTACTAGGAATGTCAATGTGGAAGACTGTGAAGCAACACCTAGCAAGCCATACTGCAAACTCTTCAAGATAACAGGATCCGTGGCTAGTGATTCCGGATCTTACTGCTGCCATTACAAATTTATCAGTGCTAAGGTTAAGGGAACCACTGCCGCAAGTGTTCATGTGTTTGTACAAGGTAAGAGAATATATTTTATTGGTGTGTTTCTTCTGTTTTCTCTAAATGCAGCCAGACTTAATAATTCTTACAAAGTGTGCAGACAAGCTTCTCAGGGCTTGGATGCAATATATGAACCAGAACCTCATGAAACTGTCTGCTTAAACCACCCACCAGCTTTATGAGAGAGCGCATTATGAGATGTCTCACTCATGTCATCACATTCTCTATTATTCTTATATGCAGATAATGCTAATGGCAGAAGCTTGTTTTGCTTGTCTCCATAATGGATGTGGTAGAGAGTGGTACCATGAATGCCTAAAAAGCACATCAAGCCCTCCAATGTTGTGTCTGCTACACCTGTTTCTACACCCACATCCTGACTTCCTTGTCATTTTTGTCTTTTTGTACATTTCACTTTTGTGGACCGGGACTTTATCTTGACCTTCCTCTCACTCTTATGCTCTCTTTTTCTATTTTAATTTTAGATTGGGAACAACCATTCATCAATCCAACGGGAACCCTTTTAATAAATAAAAATACCACAAGAGTCCCATGTCAGGTGTCCATTCCAGACCTAAATGTCACTCTGCAAACGGTAAGCAATAGTAGATCTACCTCTCTGTTAACCATTAACACCCTGGGAAAAAATTAATGAGCTGCCTTACCACAACGCACGTTAATGCTCAAGATAATTCATTTTAACGCACATGTGGTAACACAATGCAAATATGTTAATCAAGTCTTAAACCTAACAGTCACCCCCTGCCACCACTATACAAGTATACCACCTTGTACATACCCTCTGCAGGAGCCAAGTCTGTGCTGAACAAGGTAACACTCTTGTCCTCTTCTTAGCTGGTGGGTCCATGCGTTAATGCACAGCTGTCTATACGCAAATCTGAATAGAGATGACTTTTCCATTAAGACCTATAGAGTAAAGGTCACTCATGCAGTACCGTAAGGGCCCTGTTAATTCAGAGGAAAACAGGATCCAGACCCACTGCAGGTCATCTGTTTATCTATCTACAGGGGGAAGTAGTATGGGTGGGTGAAGTGGTGAAGTGAGATTGTTAGGCTTGTAATGTGGTTTTAAAGTATACTTATCCTTTAAGCAGACTCTTAAAAAGAGTTAATTGACTAAGCTCACGGCATTGTATTCATAAAGCAAAAGGGAGCAGAGCATTTTCTATATTTTGGTGTTCTGTAATTAGCTCACACAAACCCTCTTCCTACTGTTAATTTGTGAGTGGGGAAATTTGTTTTTTCTCCTTATTGGCAAAAAAAACTTACAGGTGCTCTAGACCAGCTATGATACTAGATTCAGGAAGGGATACAATAGATTTGTGCCCCCTTGAGCAATTTAATCTCACTTCCTGTCCCAGTTACCACACAGGAACCGAGGAAAGTCTTCCCAGTGAAAACATAGGCAGAAGTTCCACCTTTTCCCACTCCAAGCTAAGTGCTGGCTGGTGTTCCAATTTAAACACATAAAGTAGAGAACTGGTATATGGAACAGCAAGAGAAAATCCTGTGTAATAAATAAAATGAAATGTATCATTTTGTTTTCAGTTTAAATTCTTTGTAAAGCTTATATGTGATGAAAAAACAACATTTATGTTTGAATGTGTTCTGTTTTAGCACCCTTCAGTCATTATACCAGATGGCAAGAATGTCTTTTGGGACAACAAAGAAGGAATGTTGGTCCCTGCCGACCTGATAAGGGATGCTTTTCTGGTTCAATGCATGACCATCATTGACAAGAAGGAATTTATGTCTAACTATTTCCTCATCCATTTTACAGGTAGGCATTAAACTGATCCTTGTAGATACCACTATAAGGCTTCTTAAAACCCAACTTCAACCAAAACTGTGAATTTCCGCAAATAGCAGGGAAGGGTTAGAACCACGGTCAAGTTTTTTTTGCTGCATGTGTTCCTGTTGAGGAGATTTCCCCTGACTTCCTGTCTGGACCGGAAGTCATCGGAAGTCTCTATAATAGGAAGAAAGACAAAATAGGTTTAGTAGAGTGAGAAAGGACTTCTGACAATCTTTACGTTGTCCATGGCTACCTACACTAACTACACCCCCTCATGTTACGCAAATAAAACACAAGAAAAAATCTCCCATTGGGTTGACAATGAAAAAAAGAAACCTCACAAAATTGTAACTCTTACCCTTGTGTTTTAAATCTATAAGAATGGCTGTAGTTAGGCTTTAAATAAGGCAAAGAAGTGTGGAGTGTGGTATCCCTTTACAAACAAATACATTTTTAACTCCTATGACTACAGCATAAGCTCATCTGATTGGCCAATGATGAGTACTGCGTTTGCACATTGCGTTTTGTGGTGCCTTATTTCTCACGCCCTTTGATTTAATTATCTCTCAAATACTGAAATAACAATGTTTACCTTTATCTATAGGCTATCATTTCTATGACATGTACCTGTCTCCTAAGGACACAGTAGAGCTACTAGTAGGAGACCAACTTGTACTGAACTGCACTGTGATTGCTGAGTTTAACACTCCAGTTTACTTTACCTGGGATTACCCTGGCAAAAAGGTAAAAGAATCTATATTTCTAAACTGTCTGCCCCAATAGCATTCCTAATTTGGTTTATATTAGTAGTGGGTATATTTTATTAGGTGGAATTGTCTGTATATGTAAGCTGGAACTGAACTGTTCATGTATACAGTACATAAGTCACAACAAGAGAAAGACTAACCCCTATATACAGCAGTACAACAAAAGTGAGATACAAATAATTTTATTAAGGATACAAGAAAAATAGTACATATCCACAAGCATATTTTGGTAACAGAAGCATCTGCCCAGTTATATATAAAATAATAACAAGGTTTTAAACAACAAAGGTTACCCCCCCCCCCCCCCCCAAAAAAAAATACACTATAATATTTAACAAACTCTATTATATTAGCAGGGACACATCAAGAATGAATGCTAGATCTAAGGTAAGATATGAGGAATAGATGCTCTGAAGGAGCACCACATGTATCATGGTCAAACTCATGAAGAAATTCATCCACAATATGGGTGGAACTCCTTCAAAACATCTGTTGACCAAGGAGGCCAATATCGAAATGATGTAACTAAAGTGCACATCATAGGGGTTATGTCATCAGTGGCTGTCCAATAGGGGACATAGAGGACACCGCTCCGGGAAGAAGACCAGCAGAAGATGTCAGCAGCTGCAGGCAGAGAGACAAGGTGAAGCACGGAAATCACATTGCTGGAGGAGGGCAAACTAGAGGGTAGTTGTGCCATAATTTGTGCAAGTATGCTATGTAATGGCAAGAGCCCATCCAACCTACAAGTGGTAAAGTTACACGTTCATGAGGGCTGATCACCCTGCTGATATGCTATCTTTACCTTGTACTACACCATTGGTCCCTTAAACTGTGGCCCTTTACTCGCCTGTAGCTGGCCCTTGGGGTATTATTTCTCACACTGACATCAATGGGGCACTCATTCTTCCAATGACAACAATCATGGGGCATTATTCCTCCCACTGAGTCCAATGATGGGGCACTATTCTTCCCATTGATACCAACTTTGATGCACTATTATCATGGATTGTGAATTATTTCTCCCATTGAAATCAATAATAGGGTGCTTTTCCTCCCTCTGTTACCAACAATGGGGCAATATTCCCATTGAGACCAACGATAGGGTACTTTTCATTCCTTTGAGACCAAGCATGTGGTACTATTCATTCCACTGAGATTAACAATGGGGCACTATTCCTATTACTGGGACCAACAAGGGGCACTATTCACCATACTGAGAATAACAATGGGGCAGTATTCTTCACATTGACACAAACAATGGGGCACAATTCCTCCTACTAAGACCAGTGATGGGGCATTATTCCTCTCACTGAGACCAACGATGGAACACTATTCCTTTGGCTGACATTAAAGATAACCACAATCTTTTCTCTCACTGACTGCCAACCCTGGCCCCTCTTAACTCTCAGGGACAGTGAACTGGCCCTGTGTAATCAAAGTATGAGGACCGCTGACTGCTGAAAAATGCTAGGAGATGTAGAACTGAGAGCAAACAAAGGAAGGGAATACAGATAAACAGTTGCAGGAGGGGAAAGGAGAATTAACATAACTAACAAAAGCATAATAAAATCCCTGGCATGTTTAGCAATTTTGCATATCCTGTTTTGTATTGAGAAAAGTCTTGTAATACTAAAAGCAGTTAATCTGTTTTTTTTCTAACTACTGGGCATGTTATGACGACTGGATTATTATATTGTCATTATAAAACAATCTGGTAGCTTCCTGTGCTGGTAAAAGTGAACATATCATTGGGAAATATGGAATATGTAGAACACATTTAGAGCCCAAAATGTACTTAAAGGAAACGTGTCCTAAGTGCCAGTTGCTTGAGTGCTTCTGACCTCAATACCCGATGAGTCTCTGATCTGGAACAAGCATACAGCTTGTGAAAAATAAGTCAGAACTCCTGAACTGCATATTTCCTGCTTTGAAGTCGTTGGATCAACATGACAACCAGGAGATTTGCAGTTTCATATTAGATCTTCACATGAAAAAATGTGCTTGGTTTAAGACAAGCTTTTCTAAGTATTTCTTAAAGCAGAACTCCAGCTTTATTAATAATAATAATCATATATACAGTATATATTTCCATTGGTCCAGTTTTTGTTACAATGTAAAGATATTAATTTATATATATATATTTATATACAGTATATACACATAC